ACATACGGCTTTGGGAACATACTTTTACTGCTATCTACACTTTGTTATTTACTTTCCATTTAGACTAAATACCAGAGACGGGGCACACTAAGGGGTGCAGTGTCCTCTTTGTGAAAACATTCTACCCGTTGTAGTATTTAGAAAGAAAAAAATATACAGAGCCCTACACTACTCTTGACCACTTTCAGCGGCTGCACTTTCATAAAGGGGCTCTGGGAAAGATATTTTTACATATGGCATTAATTCTGGGAACTTTTAATAATGGCCAAATATAATTAAAAATTATGCAAAAATTCCTGCCATGAAGAGAGCAGTACAGAAACGACTCTGTTTGAAGAAAAAGCAATCATTTGCTCATATTCTGAGTCCAGAAAAAAACAAAACACACGTGGTACGTTTTTGATATTTGAACTACATCAGGCCCAATTCTGCTCCTACGCAAAGCGAGTGGCAAAACTCCAGAATGCAGCAGGATTGAGCCCCTGATGTTGTCACAAGCATTCAAATAAACAAACAGGGCTGTAACACATTCTGAGCTTCCACTGTGTTCCTCTAAATGAATCCAGACAGAAAAAGAAAAGCATATTTCATTGCATCTCTGCAAGACGAGGATAACAACAATGTACAATTTTATATTTTATAGAATTCGCCATCTCAAAGTATAATTACCCAAATGTCCAAAGCGAAAGAGTTTCAGATAGTCAAGAAAGCCTTTATGCACAAGTTTGGAGGCACAGTTCTACCAAATCCAACAGGGTTGTCTGATCTCTCTGAGCTCCTAACATCAATTTTTCCTATGGACTTTCATAAAGTCCATGATATAGGGATGTTTGCACATGACCCAAACATGGGCATCTCCTACAGCCAGCTAAATCCCCCAGGCTCTTTCACAGATAATAAAAAGAGCTGTCGATGTTCTGAATCATCCTTAGGGGAACATAAGCTATGTCTCTGCTCTCAAATTCTTCAGCAGCTTTAAAAGGAACTGCAGAATCTGTAACTCACTTGTTATTCAGCACTAGCAGACAAATGGCATAAAGATGGCATCCGGTTTTTAACCAATGGGAGAAATTTTGCGTTGCTTGCATCTTCATTTTCTATTACCTGTGATTTCATTAACAACATGACTACTGATAAGCCAAAAGCTGAGTGCACCTCTTGGATCTTAATTAACTGTGAAAGCTTGGGCCAAAATCAAGTAAGGCCATTAAGTACTTGCATAATTTTAGGCATAATGGCATCTCAGGTTTGAGTTTAAAGGCACATCAAAGCCCATCGCTGGACCACAGCCAGGGAATTCAGCACCTTCCAAAAGAAAGTCCTGAAGTTCAAATTTTAACTGAGACAATATCCATGAAATATTTTCCTTCCTGGACTATGTATTTTAAGCGTGTCTTAAATGGCTGTGGGAAGCATTTCCAACTCCACTACACTTTTACTGTTGAGCTTATGGCAAGTCCACCTTTTTTGAACACTATCCCACAGAAAAGCCAGGTCTGTTGTACTTCTGATACACCTGCATGCACTTGACAGTACACCCAGGCAGCTTCTCCTGCTTTGGAAAGGTGCCAAACACCACACCCAGCAGCTCAGGAGTTAACCATACATATGTACTGCTTACAACCATGATAGTTACCCATCCAGCCCTGGTGAAGCCAATCTCACCAGTGACATGGCACACACTCCCAGAACATGAAGAGGAACCCCACTGATGAAAATGAATCTCAAAATTCCTTGTGCTCCTGTTTATAGTGTTTATAATGTTACACTAACATTAACACTTCTAAGGCACACAAAAAGCAACTCGTGTGCCAAAGCTGTCCAAGGCCAGCTGCTACCCTCTCAAAGAATGACTGAATAAATACATAAAAATACTCATGCCACAAATTGGATGGAGTTTGCTGCACTGTGAAAGCAGCAGGTCTTTCACCAGATAAAGCCCTTTCATTGTGCATGTATTTGATGCTATTGACCTACACAGAAGTCTTAGATCTTCATTAGCAATCACATTAACAGTCAGCATTTCCTGAGATAATGCCAATCAGGGTGATTTGTATTATAAATATGACCAAATGTATGGAAAAACTACTTAAAACAACTATATGAGTTGAAACTCGCTCTAACTTTGTTCTAACCAACTGCAACATTTTAACTGTTTTCCCTATCAGATTATCAGAATAACCTCATTATTTGGTTGCCTCAAATTGTTTTATTCCAGTCAGTTCTAAGCTACAACACATGCAGCAAAGGCTGGAATTTTCTTTGGTCTGTGACGTATGTGCCACAAGCACTGTGTGATTGTTACTGTTAGCTGATGCTTGTAGAGAAAAGCACGGGGTGATTTGCAGCAGTAAATGACTTCCATAACTGTGAGCCTGTGGCATGGTATAACCTCGACACCAAATCACAGCCAAACAGATGGAGACTGTGCATATGCCACAGAACTGTAGCACTTCACATTACCTTTCTATCCAGCAATGGTGTTTTCAAAACAATCATCCTCTCCTGCTTCCCCCAGATATGGGATCATTTAAGAGACTGTTTCTCTTCAGGAATTTCCTTTTTTTTCCCCTTCTCCATGCACAGAGATGCTTTGGTTTTGTTGTTTTGTTTCCTCCCCCTTTTTCTTTCTAATAAACACACGGTTTTACTCTACAAGGCATGAATCTTGTCAATTTACTGGCTAACATCCATTCACATCAGAAGCCCACCAGGGAGTGTCACAAATCCACATAACTTTCCAAAGCTAGATTCAAAATATGGACCTCTTACTTAGCTGACAGCTGTGTAAAATCATATGCAGCCAGACAACTCCCCAGTGACCACACAGGTGCATGTGCTGAACAAGGCAAGTTATTCTGACTAAGACCAACATTAGTTTATACTTGAAAAGCTATTTTCAGAAAAAGTTTTTCTGATGGCATAATGTGATTCTGGGACAAAAACCACCACACCCTTTTTAGAGGAGGGGAACATATTAGCTCAGCTAGGTAGAGAGGCTGCAGGAAATCTCTGCGAAAGGAGCCAAATTTCAGAGGTTTTCTAGGAAGATATGACTATCATTTGGCCTCAACACACCAAGTGAGCATTAGCCAGAATTCTACAGCTCATTAACAGCTATTTTCTCTTTCATTGATAACTACAGAATCAAACAGATGTTCTAAGTAAAAAAACTGCCTGTGGACAAGGTATGTAAGCTACAGATTTCCACCTCAGTTGTGCTCAGTAACATGCATGGGATTTCAGGACAGCTTGGTTTGCCTCAAATGGCTCTGTGTCACCAGTTTCTCTCTCCACCCACCAGAAGGAGTCCTGAGGGGCAGGACCAAGGCTGTCAGTAGGATTCAGCCTAGAAACTCGCCCTAATGCCAGAGTGTCAAACTGGACTCAGATCAGCCAACACAAAAGTAGCACTGAACAGTCTTCTTCTAAAGGCTCAAAAATTTCACCCATGAGGAACAAGCAGTAGTTGCTTGAAATTCCAAGTCTTTACAGTACTGTTCAGTGCATTCTTACCTGTAAGTCTTTTTTCTGTTCAAACTTGGGATTTTTAACCTAATTTTATATTTCTCTTACTCCTCTCCAGCAGTAAGATCCCAAGATTCAGAACAGAGCTACTTTTCAATCTTCGGAAAAAATTCACCATTGGTTTGAACTACTTTTGTAACATCTGAGTGGACTACTGAAAAGACTTCACACGGTGCCAACAGCAATTTTATTTGCTGTAGGGAGTGCAGGAAATGCCTGCTTCATCCTGCCATCTGTTGTAGCACAGAACAAAAGGCTTTGGTCCCCCAAGAGTTGTTGTTCTGCATCACCCACCTCTGCTGCCCACACAGAAAAGCCAATCATTACTCCTCCAGGTGCAGCACTGACAGTGTGATCATCTGACACAGTCACTGACGAAATTTCATGACGAAATTTCATTTTTCCTCCACATACAAGTCCAAAATCAGATTATTAATGTCTATTCTATCATAGATATGTAACACAACCTACTGTATGAGTAGTATATATTGATTTCCAACTATCATAACCAATTGATCTAACAAATGAAAACGTTTTATTTTTATTTTTACAAAACTCAACAAGGTTATTCCTAAACATTGTTCACTATATTGCTCACAAATGAACAACTAAATTGGTTTAATAATCCCGAAAAAATCCAGATAAGACAGTTGGTATAACTGGTTTCATTTGCAAATTGATGAGAATAAATCTGTACAAAATGGAAAGAAAAACTGAATAAACTCTGCCAAAACAAAACATACCAAAGACAGAGGCAAGATGCTGCTTATCACTGGTGTGCAAATGTATCAGATACAAAGAGCTTTCCTGATGACTTAGAAGCTGAAGTTTGAGGAAAAGCCCTTATCAATAACTTTCATTTGCCACTACTTCCATTGGAGTGTTTTCATTGCAAAAAAAGGAAACAATTGCATCTGTGTTTCGTCCTGGCCTCTATCCTTATGAAGTTCATGCTACTTAAAATTTATTTTCAGTCTTGAGTCTAACAAAACCAAACACAACCAATTCAACTATAGAACACAGTAGGTAATGGCCCAACAACCTCACTGTTGGAGCAGAGAGTTGCCCCAGAAAAAGAAAACAACGTTCGGTAAATCTACCATGAATTGAAGAACTAACTACTAAAATCACACTAATCAGTACTTGTGAGATATAAAAGTAACAAAAGAAGGTAAAATTGAATGTTAGGTTTTAAGTCAAACCTAAAGCTTGCTTTCTTACCAAAAATGCCATTTAAGAAATTTACTATTTTTCGTTTTTCCATGGCCAATATCTCCACAATATGCTTAGACAGAAGTTTTCCTTTCAATAAAACATCCTTATGTTGCATTCTACAAGAACACTAATGCTACTTTACTTTATTCATAGACGGCAATATTACTATTTTATTCTGTATTACCATTTAAGTATTTTTAAGTTACTCTTAAGCAAGTTGTAACACAATTTTTTCCCCACTGATTTAGGGCACATACCTCTTTCACACTGGGGTCCAGTAAAGCCATACGTGCAGGCACATCGGTTTGGAGCCACACATCTCCCGCCATTTAGACATCCATTTTCACAGACAGCTGGATCAGAGGGAAGGCAAAAGTAATTTTTATTGAGCTACTGCCACAAAGACATGAAGGTATGTACTTGACCAGCTTCACTAAACTGGCAAAAACAGTAAACATAACAGCATAGGAAACCTTTTTCCTAGAATCTACTTAGTCTTTTCCTATTTCCTGGCCTCACTGGTATCATGAACTCATCTTTTCAAGGGAGCATTACATAAACACAGTAACAACCACAGCTTTCCTGACCTCTCAGAGCCTTTCTCTTAGGGATGGCTAGACAATCCCATAACCTCAAACTAACATCTCTTTCAAACTTTCAACAAATAAACACTGACAGAGATTGCAGATAGAAGATTCAGAAAAAAATTCTCGTCTCTAAATCCTCAAATGTATTTGTTCCTCTACCATAATAATCCAGTATTAAAAGGCTGTTTGCTGATGTTAAATAATTCTTACTATTAACAAGGATAGCAAAATGTAATCAATATCTATTCTGACTATATTAAACCAAGATATTCTTCCCCTGTATGATGTTGTCACTAGATTCAGGACCCAATTTTCCTCAGAATAAACTCCAAAAGCAGTTGCTCTCAAAAATAATCAGAAAATATAACATGCACATGTAAAGGAGATCTTTAAATACAACTTGATGTTGTATTGAGTAATGTTATTCTTTGTTCCCTTTCACATTCACTTCAGTAGAAAGAAGATTTCCATTTATCCTCTTTTATCCACTTGATATTTCACAGAGAAGGCAGAAATACAATTCTTAATCCTTTCACCATGTGATCCTCCTCCAGATTATTACGGTGAATTCCTGGTCCCAATGAAGTTCATGTAAAGTGTGCCATTGATCTTGACAGAGCACAAAAGGTTTTCATTAAATGAGCTAAACACATTTTCTCTGTCAGACCAATAGTTCACTAGATAGCAGTGTGACAGCCTTGGTTAAAAGCAGTGTCTACAGCCTTACTTGAGCTACTTCACAGCATTCCAGCCAAGAACAGCGAGAGACCACTAGAGTCAGCTTGGGAGAAATTTTAAGCAGCAGATCCAGGAACACTTTTGGCTAAGGATTGATTCAGGAAATAAAAAAAACCAAAACTGTCTACTACTACATCTAATAAAACATCACCAAAATGAGCAATATATCTCAGGCATACTAGCTAAGTCTGATGCAAACACTGAAATGAAAACAACGCTTTTTATTAAAAATCTTAATTTTGTCTATAAAATGAAAACTGAATCCCATGTACACTCTGGATGTATGGCCTATTGCTCTAGTGAGTTAAAAGTCCTGGAGGTCAATGGGAATCACAGTAGTGTTATATAGATCAGGTTATATCCAATTATTACGAATTCATATGATGTTTATTTTAACAGTCCTGATCAGAAAGAATTCACTCGGCATTCATTACAAAGTAATGTGTTTTTCTGTAAAACTCCACTATACCTGATAAAAAACCAAGCTCAACAGCAGTTGAAATTTAGTGCTAAAGGGTGTCCAATCCACACATCACAGGATTACTTAACTGGGCACAGTTTCTACATTCACAGAAGGGCACTTACGCTGTCCACAGTGTGTTCCTGTGTATCCCTTCTGACAGAGGCAATGGTCATCACTGCAGCTCCCTCCATTCATGCACCGGATGTTACAGTGTTGTACTTGAAAAGGAAGAAGATTTTCCTCAGTTAAATCAAACCAGTCAGAAACACTTAACTGTCTGCTAAAGAACTTTACTTTTTTTTTTAGGGATTTATTCTGTGAACAAGAAAGTATTAGAAGTCAAGGATGCACATTTTAGGACAGATACAACACTGGCACTACAGAACACAATAGATTTATAGTACCTAAGGAGTGTAGGACATGGTGCAAGAATTTGATGCCCCCCTCCTTCACTGAAGTCAAAGGCATTTTATATGAGTATAAATCCACAGGGCTTTTTTCATAGTTTGCAATGATGAGAACAAGCCATTAGTAAGGGAAAAGTACTAAAGTTCTGGCAGATACCACCAAAAGGAAAGGGCATCTTATCATCTGGGCAATTGGGGAGGGAAGTATTAAAGGGAAGCATACAAGGAAGCTCTTGAAGACAGCCTTCTTTTGCCAACACATGCAATACCAGAAGCTGATCTGGCCAGGTAGGACTTGTTGCATAAAAAGGAAAAATAAAAGAGCAATTTCTTTCTTTATGTCATCTGTGGGCTCACCCCAGCAATAGAGCTGCTGCCAGCTGCTGTACTTGGGATCTGCAGAGCTCACAGACAGCATTTCCCCAGGGCCAACAACCTTCCCCTGCAAGGGGCAGAGGTAGGGGAGCAGCAAACTCTCCTCAGCTGCAGCCCCACCATTTATAATAGATAACAGGCAGCTTAAACCCCATGCCAGCAAAGCATAACGTCTGTGCTGCATTTCTCCAGTAATAAGGAAAAATATATTTTTTAACTAGATGTTAGGAGCAACTAAAAGTATGTCAGGCTCTTCATCAGGCACAGAGAAGTGGGCAGGCCTCCCAATAAAGTGAAGTCCTTACAGGTCCTGCTGTCCAACACAGCTGTGAACTGGGGCCTGCACTCCAGTAAGCAGCTGGGAAATGGTTTTCCTCTTAACAGGAACCACATGAAAGGCTCCTCCCCAGATAGGATTACAGTCTGATCAGCATTTCAGTAGACTGTGATGCAGCACTGGATACCTACAACATGCTGTTTGAAATGCTCGGGACTGAAAAATAGAAATTGCATCCCCATCAGAGCCTGTTACTAACAGGTGTTATGCCAACCACAGAATTTTTCCTCTTGCACAAAACCCTTAAGCATCATTTGGCTTTTTACAGTTCAGAAGTATGTGAATGGAATTTTATTTTTATTTTTAAGTAATAATTTTAGCTGTATTTCCTTCTATAGCAATATGAATCCATAGAACAGAAGTTAAACATGCAACTGGAGAAAGGATTTAAAATAATCTAGCATTTAAAGCACTGCCTTCTTAATTCTTCAATTATAAAAGTAAAAACTGTGTATTACATTTCTTATGTGTCTAATAGTTACGATACATCTTTGTTCTACTTTGGATGTACTTCAGTACTTCAGGCAACAAAAATGTACTAACATTCCTCAACAAAAAGTAAAATTGTCTGCAAACACAGAGTGAATATCTGGTGGAGATTTTTGGACTATGTCCTAAGTAGGTCAGAAAAAGGTGTATAGTTACTTTAAAATGTGTAGTTCAACTTAGCTTTATACAATCTTAGAAAAACAGAGGGGATTACAAAAAGCATAGGAAATGATATCATCTGTCAAGCAGGGAAGGAACTTAAAAACCACAAACTGATTTCAATTAGAGCAAGCTATGCCAAGAGCTAATTTCCATTCCCACATGAAGACCAAAGCCATTTAAATAGTTTGAGCTACATTCGAGATAAAAAGGTTAACAGTAGCTTATAGGATGATTTTCATATTATTTGTTCAAGTAAAGTAAAGTATATTGCCCCATTTTGGGATAAGGAGTGGTTTTACACATAACACACACACACACAAAGTTTCCATAATTTGTCTTACTGCTTCTTAAAAGAACTTTTCCAAGGTAAAATATTACTTCCTCCTTTTTAAACTAAAATCATTATGGGAGATTGCTGGGACACCAATCATCTTTATTAAAATGAGCCATTTAAATCAGTGAGCTTTCTCCCTTATTACCAGGCAAGAAAATCAGTGGCATACAGTTGGTAAACTAATTACTTATTTTCTGCCCTCTTTTGAGGGAATGTTGAAAAGAGTATTTCCAAAATCATACCGACTATTCTGAAACATTACCCTTCCAAAAGTTTATAGAAACACATTCAAAGGCTGTCTGGAGCTCAGATGCTGATGTTAAGAATGCATTTTTGAAAACTAGTATATTAATGCTGGTCCAGGTTCTCTTTTCTCAGCAATATCAACAATTCCGCTAATGTCAGTGGAGATATTCCGGTAAATGAAACAACCTGTTCCAAAATATCACATTGACAGAGACGCAAGGAAAAAGCACAGGAATTACTATAGGGCTGGTAAATGAATGCATATACCTTTGCCTTATCTCAGCATGCATAGGAAATGTTAACATTCATAAATTATTGCTTTTAATCAATTATTGTTCTTTTTCACATCCCATTTGTAAACAGTCTGCACTGGAAATGTCTGAAGTCAAAACAGGAATAACTGCAGGAACACAGCTTTATAACCCTGCAATAGAGCCAGCGAGACCAAACATATCCACACAGGCTTTGTGTGTGGGCAATAGTTGTGCTTTTTATCAAAGTGAAACAACAAGCTCTCTGCTTAAGCACAACAGTTCCTGATTTCTAAAATAAATACCGGGCAAAAGTGAATAAAGCCTTCATCACACCCGGAGCGCTACCACAACCACAGCCGCTCAACAAAACGTGCAGGAGCTCACCAGGCAGGCGAAAGGTAACACACGTGCCGTCTACTCTGCGATCCCAAACTAAGGAACCCGAGGTGCGAGGGTCTGTATTCCTGAGGTGGGAGAAGCGGCGGGGCCGCCGGCCCAGCACCCCGGGCCGAGGGCGCGGCAGGGCAGCCAGCGGGCACCGCAGGAGAGGCGGCCTCTCGCCTCCGTGCCACTGCCGAGGAAACGCTCCCAGCCCCGGCCGTGCATGACGCAGGGCTTTCCCTGCCAGGAGCTGTAAACAAGGAATGACGGCCTCATCGCATCCCAGATGCTTAGCGTGCTTTCTCTGTCGAGTGACTGACTCAGGAGGGAGATAGCAGCCAGCGCCAGGACGGGACGCGGGCCTGCGGCCCTGCACGGGGTGCAGAGAAAACCCGCAGCAGCCTCAAAAACTCTGGAAACATTCAAAATTCAAGACCTTACACCACCTCTGACAGCAGCAGAATATAAGGGAAGGGGCTGAGCTCTAGGTTTTACTGCTATTGAGTGGACACCTCCCATAGCACCCGAGGAGTGGGGTCCCGGGGTGCAGAGCCAAGGCCCAGGCTCAGCCCCCGCTGCGGGCGGTCTCTGAGGAAGACTCTGAGTGGGAAGTCTCTGAGGAAGAGTTCAGTCCTCAGCTGTGCCTCTGATGCTGTGGCAGGGGAGCGGAGCAGGCCCTGCTGTGCAGTCAGGCAGCGTAAGGAGCTTGCTGGAGCACACAGACACTTGTCTCCACAAGCTGCCACCCCCGGCACCCACCACAGCTCCCACTGCCTCTGTCACAGCTCCCTTCCTTCAGAGACAGCCCCATCAGCAAACACCTCCCTCTTTCAGCCAGCCCAAACCATTCTGACCACACTTGCTGGAAGCAAAACCAGCGGCTGAGCTCAGAGACACACCTGACCCATAACCCTGGGGGCAGCAAAGGGTGCCTGATGCCAAAGCAGACACCATCCTCCTCATTCACCCCCTGCTCCCACTGGGCAGAGCAGCAGCTCCAACAACGTGTCAGGATCTTAGAGCACGAATGCAGCACAAACAGGGGCCCAGCTGCAGCCCCAAAACAGCAGCCATGGCCCAGGCAGTTTGGGGGGCAGCAGAAAAGCCACTATCACAGAGTTGGCACAGCACGGAGTGTGGGACATGTCCTGCAGCATGGAGTGTGGGACACCTCCACTGGACATCTCCCACAGCAAAGAGTGTGGGACATCTCTCACAGCTGCACCTGTGCAGCATCAGAGCACCCACACACCAGAGCCGGGGCAAGGGGGGGGCCCTCCACACTTGGCAGTCTTATCTCCAAGAATGCTGTAAGCTTACCCAAAAATTCACTACTTACACAGAAATAACCACTACTCAGCCAGCAAGTTTACTGATGTCACTAAAATCCCTGCTGAGAAAACCACCAGCTGATCTTTTCAACCACAAATCAGATTCCTAAAGCTGACTCGTAACCAGAAAAGTCCCAACAACTGACCTGCATGAGAATCAAAGTTGGAGGCTTTGTTTTGCTCTCCAGTCCACATGCTTTCCAATCTGCATTAAATATTTGATATCAACAGATAACCAGCCTATAAGAGTCACTTTTAATTTACTGTCAATGGGTGTACCTGCTATAAAACCTGTGCCAAGTACTGATTCTTTAAATACTAAAGGCACACGTAGCTTAAAATATCCAAAGGATGCCTCAGACGCATCTCACAGATCAGAAGCTATACATTTAATTCTGAGAAATCATGGCATTTTGATTCATACTTACGATTTTTATTTTGAATGTGAAAAATTTGTATCATTTACATTTTATTTTTTCATTATTTTAATCAGAGTTTTCTTCTCATTTGTTAAAATATATAATTAATATAAGCTTTCATGAATGCATATTCTGAAAAAAAATTAACTGTTACCAAAGGCAGTTGACAGTAACCATTTGATGTCAAACAGTATATTTTGGTTTTATGTTTACTTTGTTTCCTAATAGCAGATCTAAGTCATTGTGGTCTATTGTGTAAATATGTATTCATGGATTTTGTCTACAGTACCAACAAAGCAAATGACTTACATAAAGTATGCCCTGTAAGTATTAATGATGTGCTGGATCATAAAAAATATTACACAAGAGTGCACAGTGGAGTCTTTTCTCTCTATTGCTTAAGGACATTTTTGCTTTTAGAATTGGTATGTTTTAATAAACAAAGGGGATGTAACCACATACACAAAATGTATCTTAATTTATTGCAGAAATCGAACAAGATATAAACCGTATCTATTATAAGCCAACTGCCAAGTCTATTTGTAAAGTGTTAAGCAACACTTAAAAGTGGGAAAACCAATGTAGCAATGTAAGGAAAATAATGTCAGCACTGAATAAGATTTATGATTAGTAGAATATTCATACCTAGGAGAAGTAATTGTCAACAACCACATTAGCTATGTCACACAGGCTTAAGAAGCTGCTTGATTAAAAATTGTAGTTAAGTCCTGCACCCATTTATCTGTGCTCCTCCAATGAAGGCTAAAACTATGGAGATCAATTGTAGAATATTTCAGAGAAGGAACCACAAGAAGAACTGTGACTTTCTCATACTTCATTTTTCTTTTAAGTCTTTTGACTCATAAAATACTTCAGTTTGACCAAATTAAAAAGTTAGGTAATACTAAGGCCCACTCATTCCTGCCTTTTACAAAGGTACCAAAACATGTAACAGATGTAGGGATATATCTCTCCTGTACACGGAAGGGTACTTGGGAGAAGGTCATACTTTCCTTTACTGGCTTACAAGACTAAGGCTTATGCACCCAGTAAAGCAGGAGCTGCAAACCCAGGCACGAACACACCACCACACATGTTTCTGCAGCATTTTGCACCCATCCCTCCTTCCAATACTCTTTGAGAACTCCATAGCTCCATACCCTCCTCATGCTGGCCTCTCCCTAACAGACATCACAGGAGCCTGAGAAAGGGGTTGAACTACAGAGTACAATATTTACCATTTTAGTACATGCTATTCCATTACATTCCACAGTTGTTTTTGTTTTTCCACTGATATTGGATAAAAAGGATGCTAAAACCACAAGCTGGAATGGTCAGTTATGTGGTAAAACTCTTATCAACCAGGAAAGCAAAAAAAAGAGCAAGGTAAAAAATACAGATGCAAAGCAGACCACACATTGAGTCTCATAAGATATTCAGAACTAAAAGGATTACCATTTAGCATAATATTACAGACCTCAGCTGAGTGCATCCCCCACTGACTTCAGTTAATATGTTGTTCAGATAATTAAAGGGTATTTGTGGGAACCAGTTTCCCCCAAAATTCTTTCCAGAAACTTTACATTTCATATAAAAATCAAAATCCTCCATATATTCTAAGAGACAAGCACCACACTCTAATGAGGATACAGAGTAAGTACTTTACAGCTGGCATCTCAGATATGAACAGATATTATCCCAAGCAAAATCCTACTTTATATCAAATACTTAACTCATGTTTAGCAGTTGAGTTCTCTGTTTCACTGAATTAATTTAATTTTACTTATTTATCCCTGGATTTGGGGAACCTTCCTTGAAAATCTGAAATCCAAACATTTCTGGGAAAGGTCATCTCTCTGAAAAGCTTAATTTTCAGAGCATCTTTTTTTTTCTGATGAAAAGTGTTCCACTTAAAAACCTTGAGCAGCTCTGTACCTCTAGTACCTACAGAAGTAAGACGAGATTCAGAAGGTGTGAACTGAACCTGGCAAGGAAATGTAAGGCCTGTGTAAGTAACACAGAGCATAGTGTCTGCCTTATAACCCTCCAAATCAGAGGAGAATTACAAAGCATGTCGAGTTCAGCCAGTTGTCAAGAGTCATCCCTCATTACAACTTTTGTGCTGTATACAAGAGCATGTCTACTGTTGAATAGAGGTAAGGCATTTTGCAGAAGGCAAGGAAGACTGGAATTAGTGCTACAAAGTGCCAAATGAAAATAGCTTCCAATAAGACTAATTTGGTTTTGATTTGGCAAAGAAAGTGTCTCCAATAGCTGGTCTGTGAGTCACTCTTCAGTTTCATCATAAGAGACTACACTTTCCTTCCTGTGGTAAAAGTATGTCTGGTGACTCAGAGGTTATTTGTCTTAAATATTGACCACTGAACTATTTTACATACCTTAGTAACTTCACAGACTCAAAAGCGCAATATCAAAGACACAGAAGAAATACTTACTTGATTTTGAACCACAGGAGGGGGCTATCTGACCATTTGGGCATGTGCACATGTTTGGTCTAGAGCAAAATCCATCCCCACAGGAATGTCTGCAGATTGCTATAAAGAAAACATAAATGCCTTTAAAATATGTTTCAAAAACCCCAAACACATAAAAAAACACCTGATAGAAAATTCAGTACCATAACAGAAATACCGACAAACTCATTAAATTGCATACAACAGATCCCAAAACAGTTCCTCCTGTTCGTCTGCATCTAGCTAAAACCTAGACCTTCACCATCTGCTATGAAAAGGTCTGGGAACATGCCACAGGCCACAGTAGATATAGGGAGATTTCCTTGGAAAAGTGAAACTGTTGTCCATTTTACCAGACTAATCTTGGAGGAAGGATGGCACCGAGGCAGCATTACAATGCTTCCTTTATTTCTGCACCAGACACACAATAATTCCCAGCTGAGAGCACGCTGCCTCAGTATCTCTGGAGAGTCTTATCAGCCTTAGGCCAAAGTGCCTTTAGGAGTTATTTCTGGTATGCTGTTCCATTACACACGAGTATGGATACAGCACCATGATGCAAGTATATTTATATCCCTACATATATATTTCAGGGATATGATCCAAACAAGCAGCAAAAATGTACTTGTTAGCCCAATGCTGTTGCCTCCTTCCCTTTACTTAAATAGATTAACATATTCCACAGCTACTCACTCCCAAGAGTTCACACACCCCTTGGAACCCTTTACCACAGACTTAAACAGAACATGTGGATAAGATTAATCCTTTGTTAAATACTAGTATCACATCACTGTGTCATAGCCCACAAAACTTTGTAAATTGGCTTAATATATTTAAAATGGTAAAGAAATGTACAGCTGCTATTGAAAACATATAGCAACACATTTCAGTTCTGGTACACAATTAAAAATACCCTGACATAGAGGAACAAAGATAAATCTCAGTCATAACACGTAACTAGATTAACTTACGGACTATGCATTGGTTTCCACCAGGTAAAGTTTTCCATCCAGGGCAACAGTAGGCATTGTAACGTGATCCACATACATTTGGCCTGGGAAAAAAAGGATGAAGTCTTATTTTTGCCCAGCAATATGTTGGAAAAGTAGAGGCATAAAAACAGAAAAAGTAAATCACTGCAATATACATTTCAGTAATTGCATTTAGAATGTTGTATGTTTTTAGCGGAACTGTATGCCTGTGGTTGGGGTTTTTAGGTAACATACACTTTTACAAATTGAAGATTACATTACAAACACAAAATCAAATCAGTAACATCTGAACAACAGCAACAGAATGGGCAAACCTTGTCTCATATCACCTCATATCTGAAGAATTAACCATACAGGTTTTTGAGCATAACTAACATTTAAATATAAAATAGGAATCATATCCGTCATCATTAATGAGCACAGAGGAAATCTAGTGCTCTTTGAGTGGTAATTTTTAATTTTGCTTTCTCTTCTTTTCTCTAAAGCACTATTACTGCTCCCTGTTTTGTCCATGAGCAAAACTATGTATGTATGATTGAAACATGCCAACCAGAACATTAGCCAAAAAAAAAAGAGTCAAAACGTGTAAATTACTAACTACCAAAAAAATCAAGGATGTGGGTGTATGTAGAGCAACGGGATCCTGTGAAATGGGCATGAAGGGTCTATGCCCTCCTTAAATGATGGATCCACAGGACTTTTTCTTTCCAACCCGTTCCTCTCATACACATTTATCCCGTCAAACAACTTTATCACTAGAGTTTACAATGAAAGCTGACAGGACATGACACTATTCCTATCATGATTTTATTGGTAAAAATTGAAAAGTTGAAATTATTCTATGCCCCTCACAGATAATAGATATTTTAAATCTATCTTGTCCTATTTATTTAATGCATCTATCCATGCAAATAAAGCTGGTAAGAATAGCTTCAAAAATGGCAACATGTGCCTTCTTTTGTTTCATGTCTAATAATCTTACCAGAGGAAAATTTTACAACCTCTATTAATATTGTAAGCAATTACCAACAGATTAATGCAGCTAGAGCTAGCTATAAACTTCCTAGAAACTGCTTTATTAAAATATTGTACACAGATTAGAGACAGATTTAAGTGTTTGCTGTCTTAGGAAGGGTTTTCTATTATTATTTTGTCTTTAGTCTTTCAGAAAGTTCTTCCTTCCTAGTAATGCAATCTCTAAGTAAACAATAGTTACCTCATACGGTGAGGCAACTTAAGACAAACAATCTCAATATATACAAACATTTCTTTATGCACATTTTCTAATTAACAAATTTTTTATACTGTATTTATTTAGGGATATGCATTGCTAATGCAGTTTCAGGTATTCTAATTACACCAGTTGCTGTGACACTTACTCTTTCGAATTACATGTTTGGCCAGAAACTACTTAAGTCAAAGCAAGCACTGCCTCTGCTTCTGGAAATTACAAAGTGGTAACTGAGGTGAATGTGAGCAACACAATTGGACTTGTTGCAGGGCCCTTTTCTCTTCCTGCAACCACTGTTAGAGACTCAAAGTCTTATTCATTTAATTCCAATGTATTCAGTTTTAGTAATGTCAGCTACTTCCCTGCAGGGCTATAACCATGTAACTTTCCTAGAGTTCCCTGTTCATCAATGCCAAATGTTGCTCCATGATCATCTGCCAAGTAAGACTGGCAAGCAGACAAGTGAGATTGCTTTTCACCTTCTCCAGTCAGAAGAAATAATAGAACTCATTAAGACAGACAGAGTGGGTTTGTTGCTACCTGTTACAACCTACGGGCATAAACCACCCATTTCCCATTCCGGCTGGGGAGAATCTATAAAGGGCTGACCATAAAGTGATGTTTACATATTCTGTCAAATTTCAGTCTCAGCAAGTACATGGCTTTGGGGACCATCTGGTCCATGTTAAGAGTCAGGAGCAGATTTCTGTGTCACAGAGAAACCCGGTTTTAGAAATCCGTTTCCAAAATGGGACTCCGGAAACCCTAGATGTGCCAGCAACCATGAAGTCAGAGACCCTGAGAGCCTCGAAGCTGTCCACAGGGTAAGCTAAGCCATACACCCAGGAGGCTCCAACTCGGATGCAGCATGCTTAGCTTTGAAAAAAGAAATTTTAAAAAGTCATTCCATGGAACAATTTGAGCCTGACAAGTGCATTTTCCAGTGGAACACTTTTTCGTCAGAAAGCTGCTGTTTAGCTTATAAAAGAAACCTATATTAAAGTTTGAATGCCACTCTTTTGAGATGGAGGGAGTGTTCTGAATTTGTGCGCATTTGTAAAATGTCTTTGAAAATAATTAATTTTGAAGGTTATATTCATTGATATTTATGAGGTGATCAGACACTATAGCAATAAATCTCCATAAATAAATAAAGTATTCAAGGTAATAACAATTTACCTCATGTAAAATCACGGAAACCATCAATCAAATTGTCAAGGTTCTATCGTGGTACTTTCTTTAAACAGTTACCCACTGTTGTGTTAAATAGAGCATATTTTCCTGCTGATACTATAAGCTATAAATACTAAAGAAGTATTTTATATTCTTATAAAACCGTTTTTCTGAACAGCACTACAAACTGAGTTCTTTTATAAAATCTGATTTGGAATGGTAAAATAAGCAAAAATGCATCTATACACCCTCAAACCACCTATAGCACCTTCCTTTCACTCCAAAGCCCAGAGGAGGGAGAGAACATCTCAGAACAAAGCTGTTCTCTCTGCAATTTAAAAAAAGACAAGTCTTTCACTTCATTTTAGAGTCACTTAATTAACTTGTAAAGTATAAAAGGATTTCTGTAATGGTATGGTGCTGAGACAGGATGGCTGATGCCCAGAGTTTCATCAAAGATGTCCAAAGTAAACAAGAAACTATGTCTTTGATTAATGATACACAAGTACAAATTCAGTAGCAAAGTGAGTTGAGCAATTATCAAAAGACATTAGTCACCAACTAGAAAAATCTTAGAACAGCAGAGAGAAAAAAGTTCATCTGGAAATTGTGATAACTAACACTTGAGAGTGATAGGTTTGCATAGATATTGGTGCCGTTTGTGTGCACCAAATTAGAAGATATTCTTCTTCAGAAACAACCACAGGGACCCTACACCCCCATCACAAAGTAAAGCCTTGTCTGTCCTATCCCCACTTGTGGGGATGGAGCCCAGGCAGAACTGCAGCATCAGCAACTTCAGAGGGACACCCGTGGTCCTGCCCCAGGTCAGCCCTGTGGGGCAGCACAGCTGCCTGTCACACCTTCTCAAATAAATGGTCTCTTTTCTCCATGGGGCAACACGGACATCATCTCACAGAAAGGACCAACCGGGTCTGTCTCTCCCTTGCTACTCCTGCTTCCAATGCCCTGTCTCAGCAGGGATGCCTGGCTGCCTGGCTCTCCCAAACTGCACACCATTACCCAGACACTGGGGGTGGATTTGTGGAGTGGGCACACAAATGTAAAATGATGGGAAGCAAATCATGCTAAGTTTGGCAGAGCCTTCTTATCAGATGTAATGAGGCAGTGAGGGTACGTGACAGCCAGAGAAGGGAGGGAGGTGTTCAAAAGCCCTGTGTGAAGCTGGCACCAGAGAACACCCCCCCAGCCCAGGAATGGTGGGGGCACCTCTGGCATTGTGACTGTCCCCTCCAGGGTCCCAGCAGAGACACAGTCAGAGCCCCGTGCTGCAGCCTGCCAGGGGGGCCTGCTAATTCTGCACATCCCCACTCTGCCCTGCCTGTGACCCCTCAAGGAAATTACAGCCCTCTCCCGAGGAAAGCATTGCCCATCTGCAGCTCCCATGGGAGGAAGAGTTTCTGGCACTGCTGTGAGCGAAGCTTCAGGCAGAAATGTTGTCAGTAGCACTGCCATGCACCGGCCAATGCTGGCGTAATCCGGGCTGAATCAAACCCAAAGCACAGGTCTCAAATAAATTAGACAGAGACCAGACAGAGTGGGCAGAGAGCAGCTGAGTGAGTAAGAGAGACAGCTGATCACCAGCTAGAGCTGAGCTGAGATGCAGGGATAGGGGGAATGGTTTCTAATCACTCCCTCAATGTACTTTTCCTCTCCCTAGAAAAACACACAGCTATTCTTTCTTGCAAGAAAACGTTTCATGAACAACTTCTATTAACTATTTTGCTGCAGTGGCTATCATATGTTTAACATAATGTAGGGACCCAGTCTTCTGGCAGAAGAGATGCAATTTAAAGCAACATCATCAGCCAATGATTATTTTTAGAGAAGCCTTTGCCTATTTTTCTTCTTACATGGGTAACTTTGGTACCTGCTAAAACTGTACACAGAACTATTTGCTGATCATTTCCACATAAAATAGGAGTGATGCTTCCATGTCTGCACTGGGAGTTAAAAAGAATGACTAACTGCATCAGAAAAAATGGAGGGCTTGTCTTAGAAATGTGTTTGTCTGAGTATAACCAAAGTATTAAGAAATAGTAGCTAAGGCTCCAGAATGTGAAGTGGAATCCTTTATTAGTAGCTTTCAAAAGATAAAAAAATCAGATGTAAATACCTCTTGTAAAACAATTTAGGTACCCACCTGAACTTCTCAGTGTTTCAGAGTAAATACTAAATACACGGAGTGACTGAGCTGTGCTGACTCCACTGGAGCTTTACTCAGCTTTCCCACATAACCAAGAACTTCCATCACCTGAGACACGCCAAACTTTAGTGGACACAGCCATGAGCAACCTGATTTAAATTCACCCTGGTCTAAGCGAGGGTTGGACCACATGGCCTTCCAAGATCCCTCCTCACCTAAATGACAGAAGTCAGGTACTTCATGCACAAATTAGAGGTCAATATCTAAAGCACCTCCTTCAGCTGTGCTGGCGCCCACCCCCTCCTCCGAGGAGCAGCAGAGCTGCAAGCAAAGCAGAAGCAGGAAGGGAAGATCTGGTTCCTAATGGGATGCAGCAGCCAACAGCTACAGCACATGATGGGCAGCTGTCCCAAGCCACCTGCAGCCCTGACACACATCACTCTGCACCAAGAGCCCAGGGAAGAAGCCTGGTTGTGCTTTGAACTCACTGG